GCACAACTAACAAGTCCTTTCCTCTCGTGTGAAGGAGAAGGAACCCGTCGGAAATCCGATAGTGGCTAGCCGGCGGGTGATCCGATGAAAGCTCGACGTAAAGCGTAGAGTAAGTCGGATCGGACTTGTAGCCTTTGACGAAATGCGGCTGCAGATCGTCCTCGAGGTCGAATGCTGTGGTCACAATGGCACAAAAATCGGGCCGTCGTGAGAGGGCGTCCGCAGCTCGATTGGCGGGACCGGGAATGTGGCACGGGTTAAAGTCGAACTGGTCAATGTAATACATCCATCGACCGATCGTGCTAGTGACCGTATCTTGCGTTTTGTAAAAGGTCAACGGATTGTTGTCCGTATTCTATTTAAAACGCCGACGGCCGAGAAGAAAGTGGCGCCACCGTTTGAGAACGGTGACGAACGCGAGTAGCTTTTTCTTCCTAGCGTCGTCGAGAGTGTTGACGAGAGGCACCTTTTGGGAGAAATACTCGACCGGATGCCAACCGTCCTTGTGACATTGTTCCAACACCGCACCAATACCGTATCCTGAAGCGTCCGTAGTCACTTGGGTGGGCAGGGTGGGGTCGTATATACGGAGGGCAGGTGCGGCTTGCATCGCTGCCTTCAACGTAGTGAACGCGCCACGGGCTGCGTCGTCGAACCTTGATTGGCACCTTCGGGGACTGAAGTCTCGACAAAGGAGCGGCCACTTTCAAGTATGACTCGACGAATCGCTGATAATATCCAGCCAAACCCATGAAAGAGCGTACATCCGTCGTACAACGGGGTTCCGGCCAATCCACGATGGCTTGGATCTTGTCTGCTAAGGGACGAATGCCTTTCGGCGTAACATAATGGCCCAAATACTCAAGCTCCTGCTTGGCGAACCCGCACTTGTCGCGGTTTGCTTTGTACTTGGCCAGTCGCAAACGATTCAAAACAGCGCGAAGGTGTATGATGTGCTCGTCCAACGTCCTGCTATAGACCAAGATGTCATCGAGGTAGATGAGGACGCTACGATTGAGCAAGTCGCGAAACTCAGTCGTCATAGCTGCTTGAAAAGTCGCGGGGGCATTGGTGAGGCCAAATGGCATGACAACCCACTCAAAATGCCCGTACCGCGTCTTGAACGCGGTCGTGTACCGATCTTGAGGCTGGATTTCAATCTGGTGGTAACCCGACTTCAAGTCAACTTCGAGAAGTACGTCGCGCCGCCTAACCGCTCAAGGAGATCATCAATCCGAGGGAGAGGTCCGACGTTCTTTACGGTTTGTGCGTTAAGTTTGTGATAGTCGATGCATAACCGTAGATCTTTGTTCTTCTTCCGGACGAAGAGAACAGGGGCACCGTAAGGCGAACAACTAGGGCGAATCGAGCCCTTGTCGAGAAGGTCATCGAGTTGTGAGCGAAGCACCTCGAGTTCCTCTTCGCTCATGCGGTAGATACATCCACACGGAGGGACGACACCAGCCTCGAGAGTGATCCCGTGACGTATGGGCCGATCCGGAATCGTTCCGGTGGGAGCCTCGAAGAGGTCTCCATACTCGTCCAAGAGGTGAGTGATGTGTGGGTCCGGCGGTGATGCGGCTGATCCGTCCGGCGAGGGGAGAGCATGCAAGAATACAAGGCCCATCTCCTCGACGTCATTCCGAGCTATGGCGTTGCGAATTCTCGCAATCGAAACCACGTGACAAGCAATCGAAGTGTGAGGGGTCGCGACCGTACATGGGACTAACACTCCGTTCCGATCACGGATGTGAACGGTTCGGTCATGAAAGTTCTCCGGATGATCGGCGCTACGCAACCAAGACATGCCTAGAATCATGTCGAACTTGGTGTCGAGGATGTCAAAAGACACCGGCTTGCACGCAAGTGGCGCAAAGTATACCGGAATGCCGTCGACGCATCGGTCAATTGACTTTTGCGTGCGGCCGTCCACGAGTGTAACTTGCGTAGGTTCCGTCTTCCTTCGGACGCGCGGGCCAAGACCTGCGCGGGCCATAAAGGCTTGGCTCATAAAGTTGCGAGACCCTCCGCAATCAATCAAGGCACTACAGGTTGCCTTTCCGATTTGAATGCGGATATAGAGCAAAGGCGGGTCGATTCCGGCGTACCTTTGGGTGACGTACTCGCGGTCAATCTTCGCAAGATAGGAGCGGAGATCGACAACCGCTACCCCGTTGTCCGTCAACGGAGCTGGTACTGCAGTGTGCAAATAGGAGCGTAGATTTGCCATCAAGGCATTGCAATGCGGCCTTGGCAAGGTTCCGGTCGAGGGTAGAGGCATCCAAGCGAAGTCCTCTCTCGTGAGCGGGTCAAGTTCCTCAAGTCTTGACCACGCCGTCGGGTCCTCGGAAGTCAGTGGCGAGCTGACCGGATCACTTGCCCACGGTGTACAGGCTGCGCATACGCAATCTAAGTGCACGTGGCTCGGCTGGTCTAGTGGTGGTACCAGCTGGGCGGCATAATCCTCGTATGTAGCACGAGAATCAGCGACTAACGCATGCTCCCCGGTAGTGACATCGATTGCTAGCAAGGCAACCGGGTCCTGCGGAGTGAGGAGAGACGTCGCCCCTCTCCTTGCGTAACTCAGTTTCCCGAGTTAGCTGGACGGGGTACGTGTGCCTTGCCCTTTTCGGGGCACTGTGCGGTCAAATGAGTGACTCCATTGCACCAAAGGCAATATCCGTACCGTTGACGAAGGTCATAGATTTCCTTGGTGATCTTGTATGCCGTCCATGGCTGCTGCCCAGTTCCCGTCGATGTCGTCTCTTGTGTCGCCTTGTTCTTCCGAACTCTCTTGGGACGCTTCGGCGGGAGCGCTGCTACAATTCCTCCATCACTTGAGGATGCTGCTGCAGCGTGGAGATCGACTGTTTCGTCAAAAATCACGGTATTATTATGTGCCGGTCGTTGATAGCCCGACTTAGCCACATAATGCGGCTGGGACTGCCGTTCGTTTGCGTCCTTGTCATCCGTTTGGATGACGAAGTTCGCACGATCCAGGATGGCCTGGAATGAGGCGTCATCGTACTCGTTGCCGAGTGCGGTTCGCAGTCCTGCGCACGATCGCGAGAAGAACTTGGATCGTTGGTTCGTAAAACTCAAATCGAAACCTGGCGTGGTCACTATCTTTTGCCACTTGGTTGTCCAGTCTCGAGTTGGCATATTCCCTTGAGAGCAGGTGTACACCTCGTTCATGGCCGCGTTCACGACGTTGAGGACCATGAACCGAGTGAACCATAGCTTCTCGAACTCCTTCCGCGGGATGTGCGTGTGGAGTTCGGCGATGGTGCATTTGTTGGTAGCCGCCAGATGGTTCATCCAAGCCTGCGCTCCTCCAATCAGTTGTAAGTAGAGCGCCTTCATCATGTCGTCAGCCGGGACAGTGCGGCATGCTGCTTCCGTGAGGAAACGTTGCCAACATGTCAAGGCGTCCGACTTTTTGTAGTCGTCGAACTTGCTGATGTCGAAGTGCGGCATCTTGTAATTCTTTGTAGCGGCGTCCGGTCTTGTCTGCAGTTTGGTGATGCTCGTCTTGATGGAGGCCACCGTGCTGCTGATCGTGGCCGGACTAGTGAAATCACCTAGTTCGCCAATGATAGTGACGACGTGATCGATGCGCTCGTTGAGCTGCTTCGTCGCGTCTGTCGTGCAGCCTGGCGCTGCTGAGGTCTTAGCCTCGATGTCGTTGATGCGTGCGAGAGTAGAGTTCAACAGCTGTTGCTGTTGCTGCTGCTGCGTTGCTGCGTCGCGGACGGCGGCCGTCAAAGCAGCCACCTCTTGCTGGTGCTTCTGTCGTTGCTGTCGTTCTGCGAGCAGGTGTGCCTGCAGCAGTTTGTTGTTCCACATTACTCCCCTCATCACGCTCAACATCAGGGTAGCCAGGTTACTTCTCTCTCCCTCTGCCTGTGTCGGAGCCGCCTGCGCTTCCGTAGGCACAAAGAACATGCCTTCGAGTAGTGTTGTCCACTGATTCTCATGTTGAATCAGGGACTCCGTGCTGGCGGCATTCCGTCTGTCTCGTGTCGCTGCGTCAGCCTCAGCAGTCTGCTGAGCTTGGGCTGCCGCCTCATTGGCCAGCCGCTGACGTTCTGCCTGTGCTGCCTCCTGCTGAGCCTTGGCGGTAGCTATGGCATCAGTGAATACCTGTAGCCGCCCAAGGTAGTCAGCCAGCGGTTCAAGGGCCCCTTGGACCGGACATGCGGGAAGAACTCTGGTGGGAACCGGTATTGTCAATGCTGTACTTGATGCCGCCTGAGTCGTCCGCTTGCTGAGCCGCTGTTGCTGATACTTGCTTCGTGGAGGTACCACAGGACGGTTACGAACTGCAAGCCTGGCACTGCGTCGTGGCAGTGCCCCGGTGTCTTGTTCCACTGACATCAGCTCTGGCTGATGTGGTACCTCAGACATCCCGGTGGTCACAGATCACAGGGAGGGTAGGGAGGGTAGGGAGGGTGGGAACAGGGATAGAACAATCAACACACTGCACATACAGTCCCTGTCCCACTGATGGACTGTAGACACCTAATCAAACAGAAAAAATAAATTTCCCGTAAGCAATTCAAAAATTCGTAATAAGAAAATAATAACGATTTATTTAATCAATAAAGTTCAATTAATGATTAATAACGAAATAATATTTCTCACATAAAACAATATTTGCAATAATGATGATAATCAATAAAACAATATTTGCAATAATGATAATGAACGAATTTGAATTGTATCAAGATTAGGTATCCGTTGAGATCATCTTAAGTCCGGGAGCTCACCGTTAATTAGTGAACTACCCGGAAGTTGCAATTCTGAGGGTCAGATACGGATTAGTTTAGCAAAAAAATTTTCGGAGGAAAATCAGAAGAAAAACACTCGAATTTTCAAAAAACGTGAAATTTCGGGAATTTCCACCGTCAAAATCCGATTTTTAAAGGCCTAAGTCCGTTTTCGGAATTTCTCAAACAAGGGAGAGAAAAAAAAATTCGCGAAAATTTCGGAGTCCAACCCTATTTTTTCGCGATTCCGCGGAATTTCCAGTTTTACGGTTCCAAAACGTTCGAATTTCCTTTTCGTAACCCTAATTTCCCACACTGCAATAAAACGGAAATGCCGATTTAGAAAACGGAATACAGGATTAAAATCAGAATGCTGAATTATAAAAACGGAAACCGAATTGAAAATCAGAATGCCGAATTAAACAGAGTACTGATTTCAACCTAATCACGAATCACTAATCAGAAATCCGAATTAAGTAGAATGTCGGATTAGTTCAATTTATCGGAACTCAAATTAACAGCATACCGGAGTAAAACAGAAATCCGAATTACAAGTCCGAATACCGAATTGAAACGGAAATGCCGAAATAAACAGAATACCGAAGAGAATTTTTTTTTTTTGCAACTTTGAACTCGATAGTAATACAGAGCTGATTTGGAAGATTGAAGAAACAATCTACTTCCTAATCAGACTTACTTGGTGAGCAGATCCGTAAAATGGTCTGCTCCGATATCAAAACTGTTACATACTCGTGAAAGTGTCAACGAGTATGGGGCAGAACCAAAGATCAACCAATATAGGATGAGCATGTATGCAGCAGAAGTCTGATAACGGACTGACTCACATAGACTGACTCACACAGATATCACTCCACACACATACAATCGTGAGATGGTGGGGTCTGAGCCATACATGGAAGATGCTCAGGCCCCGTACACACATACACAAATGAAAGGTGGGAGGAGAGACGAAGGAGGTGGGGGAGGTAGACAGCACCGAAGGTCACCGAAATAGAATCCTATAGGTCACCGATATGGTAGTCCAAAATGTCATCAAACAAGATCAAAATGTCGAGGACAATAAGTCACCAATGTTGGAGATACAGAGTCCAAATGTAACCGGTGTCCGAACTGTGATGCCGCCGAGTATCAACCCCAACAATCTCCAAGTCTCGAATCCGATAAGTACTACCACCAAAGTCCAACACTGATCTCTGTCCAACTAGTATGAAGTCTCCAATCTGAAGAAGAAGAAGAAGAAGTCTGAAGAAGAAGAAGAAGAAGAAGTCTGAAGAAGAAGAAGAAGAAGAAGGCTGAAGAAGAAGAAGAAGAAGAAAAAGAGTCGAGGAGGAGAGAGAGAGAGAGGGGACTGGCGATGGGAGGGAGGAGAGAACCTCCGGCTCCCGATACCTCAGGCGACTATGGCCGCAGATCTTGCTCAGTCGCCGCTGCTGCTGCTCTGCTCGCTGCCGCTGCCGCTGCTGCTCCTCGTGCTCCTGCGCTAAGTATAGCGCTAGCGCTCTGGCACTAACCATAATGCACCGCGTAGAATGTCGGTGGTTCGATGGCGAACTGAGGCTGGACCGGTACTTTTGTACCGGTGGGGCAGAGGCCGGCCTCTATGCTGCGAGGCCTGGCCGTGCCGTGAACCGTCAAGATGGAYGGTTCWGCCCCAACCGGCGGGCGGCAGCCTCAAGAGCRCCGCCAGGCCCAAACGGTAATGTCGTTTGGGCCTGCCCGTCGGGTCTGGTCCAAGATGAGGCCTTTACGGCCTGAAGTACCCCAAGGTCGGGCCTTTCGGCCCTACTGTGTCCCTCTGGCCCTAAGTCGGGTCCGGTAGGACCCGTGTGGCGTCAAAGATGTAACACACTCCCCCTCTTAAAAGATCGAGCTACCTGCGAGGGCGAAGTTGTCTGTCCGATATCGGGATGTGTCGGGTGGGACGAGCTGCTTCCTTGGCAAGGTGTCGCTTCTCATAGTCGGCGAAGATAATGGGTGCAAAAGTTTGCAAGTCTGCACTAGAGATCCATCGAGTGTCGTCAGACGCACATTGCTTGAATGTGACTTTGAACTGCATTGGCTTGTTGCCATACTTGCGGTGCGTGATGACTCGGTCCACTTCCTGATGTTCGTCCATAGAAGGCGGATCCTGTGATCGACGGCCGGGGAACTCATCGGTAGAAGGTGGCGTGTACATGGCCAGCTTCGACGCGTGGAAGACCCGGTGCACTGTAAGGTGCGGAGGAATGTTGATCACGAAGGAAGGACCTGCGGGGTCGTTTCCAACGGCAGAAGTGACTTCCCATGGTCCGAACCATTTCGGAAGGAGTTTGCGCGAAACGTCCTGCTCGAGCGCAAATTCCTCGGAGAGGACCTAAACAAGGTCTCCCTCGTGGAAAGGACATGGAAGTCGACGTTGGTTAGCTTGCTGTTGCATGCGGATTGGGGCCTTTTGCATATTTGCGCGGGCTTTGATCAGCAAGTCCCGGTACTTCCGAACGGAAGCGGGAGAGCAAGGGACGTCTATGAGGGCAGCCTGTGGCAAAAGGAGATCAGCGAAGATCCGTGCTTTCTCTCCACCATGATGGAGCTCGAATGGTGTGACGCAGATCGCCAGGTGCACCGAAGTGTTATAGGTGAACTCGATGTCGGGAAGCCGGTCAACCCAATCTTTCTGGTCGGGACGGATGAGCGTACGCAACATCATCTGAGCGGTCTGGTGCGCTCGCTCCGTCTGACCATCCGTCTGCGGGTGCCGAGCCGAGCTCGACTTCATTGTCGTACCGGACTCAGCCATGAGGGAAGTCCAAAAGGCCGACATGAAGCGAGTATCTCGGTCGCTCACTATGTCTTCCGGAACACCCTGGTTGGTAATCCAACCAGTGTGCAAGAATCGTGCGAGCTCAGGCGCTGCAGCATGATACTTGCAAAGAAGGAAGCGAGCATACTTGCTCAAACGGCCAACAGCCGTGAGTATACCGTCATGGCCATGGCGATCGCGGGGGAACGGGCCTGTCACGTCCATAGCAATGGAGAGGCGCGGTGCTCGAGGAATCGGCATTGGTTTCAGTTCGCCGAAGGGGACTCGAGATCGACCCTTGTTACGATGGAAAACTGCACATGACTCAATGTACCTCGTGACGTCATGAAGGACGTCGGGCCAGTGAAAACGTTGGCGGAGGCGTGCTAATGTGCGGTTCACGCCAAGGTGTGCCAAAAGTCGTGCGTCGTGGAATTCGCCGAGAAGACGAGTCCGTAAGATGCGATCTTGGGGCACAACTAACAAGTCCTTTCCTCTCGTGTGAAGGAGAAGGAACCCGTCGGAAATCCGATAGTGGCT